AATTCGATCTACTAAATCATCCTCCGTTTCACGATATTCAGAAGATAATCCATGCAAGACAATATATTTTTCGAATTTCATGTCAGTCGTGGTATCTGGGGATTTTGAACTATGTAACTTTTCTTGAAATTCATTATAATTTTTTTGCAATTTTGAACATTCATTTTGCAGGCTTTTGTTTTTTTGTTCAAGGGTTAAAATATTTTCTTCGGTTTTAGTCTGTCTGCATTTCAAGTATTCAAAGTTTTGTATAAAGTCTTGTCTTAGGTTTTTTATAGCTGATTCAATTTCCCTCTGAATAGTATTTTGTATTGCTTGTAAGATAGATTTATTATTTTGCTGTAGATTTTCTTGTATAGATATATTTATTTGCTCTAGAGTTGCCAAGTTTGATGAGGAAATGCTGTTTATTGGAGTATTTTGCGTTGGGTGTTCTAAAAAGGTATCCCCTTCAAGGGAAGTATTTGAATCGTCGGCTACTGGCGATATCGCTTGGCGTCTTCGTTGGCTTTTTCTATTTAAATTCAGATCGCAATTTATTTCATCGTAATTTTGCCGAACAGGGGTGTTTGAGTTATTTGTCTTTGCAACTTTTGAGCAACATAAGGGACATTTCCAAGACAATTTGTGATCCGGCGTCATTGTATTTATAAATCTTACCAAAGGTACATTTGCACATTGAATATCATAACTTTGTGTGCATAAACAACATGATAAGTAGTATCTATCAGGTATTTTCTGACAACATCCTGCACATATTTTATCGGAGCTTGCCATCTTCCGAAATTTTTAAGAAACTTGTTTATTGATTGTTAAGAGTGAAGCAAACACTGAAGGTTCGAGTAGCAGTTTGATATGGAAGCAACAGATGGCGTTTATTGTGATTTTTTGTGAGTAAAACACAAACAGTAATAATGTAATTTATGGATGTAATTTAAATGAAGAACTTATACGTGGTGCTCAATCATTATATCGTTGGTGGTGCAGACAAAAATGGAAACATCAATTAATAAACAGTCGTTCAACTTGATTTGAACTGGCGACCCGCGGAGTTTGCAAAGCCGCTGCCGCGCTGCTTAAACCTTGCGGCCACGCAGCGGATATTTGTAACAGCGAAATTTCCGAATATACTAGGCACAGAGATTTGAATTTTTAAAGTTCGTTATTTTATGATTCATCAAAAAAATTTTAAAACGTATTTTCACTAAATCTTTAATTTTGTCACTAACACTGTTATCATTTATTATTATTCTTCTGTTTAATATACTTGAAATAAGCTTTTTACACTGTTTTTATGGGTCACTGATGATAATTTTAATTTATTGTTTATTTTCACTGTATGGTGGTATTTCCACTGGCCTACATTTCCACATATTTCACACATGAAATATATCAGTATGATTTACTCGCTAAGCAGAACAATTCACTTTTTATATTTATCAATCAATTTTAAATACGACGTCGATGTTTACGTGACGACAGCGCCATCTGGCCTCCTAAAAATTTATAAATAGCGCGTACGGGTCTCTTTTGTAATATAAAAATATCTTGAATATCAGCCGCTGTTCCCCATAGTAACATACCACATGATACTATGGAAATAACCGAAATATACAAGCCTTGCCGTCTCGACATCCGACAGTAATCTAATTTTTTTTACAGCAAAAGCAGCCGAGCCAAGTCTTCTTGAAAGGGTAGTTATATGAGGATTCCATTGCAAACGTGAATCTAAGGTTATTCCTAAAAATACTGTTGAGTCAACACATGGTATTATTTCTTCGTTGATTTTAATAGTTGGACTAACCTAAATAAAACTAGTTTAAACGGGATAATGCACGAAACTTTATTTATTTATTGACGTTTCGTAGCCTTTACAGGCTTCGTCGTCAGAATAAAACTTTTGTTTAATTTGTCGAGCTACCTTCGAAAGACTTTTATTGAGCGTTTGGTTATTTCATCGTTCGATTTTTAAGTTTTATTGTCTATGTATGAATTTATTATTTAATTTACTTAAATAAAGTATTTTATTTAAAATTCTTGTTTGTAATTTTGCGTTTATTTATTTGACCCTAACTACCGTAAACTACCACCGGTTCCAAAATTGGGAGACCTTCCTGAGAAGAACCAGCGAAACAAACTCAAGAGAGGCTTTCTATCTCCTTCTTATGTTAAATTATGCAAACAAAAAGAACTAATAGTATCTGATGGTCTTGCAGTATGTGCTCGGGGTTGGGATTTTATCTCCTGTATAATAGGTTCCCAAGCTGGTGGTATATACCAACCATCTTCCCTATTGAAATTTGGATATTTTTTAATCTCAATAGCCTCGCGCATCATTCGAGGAACGAAACGCCGCTCAGCTGCAAGGATCTGTGGTCTATCAAATCTAATGTAGTGGTTTGGTCCCCCTAATGCATGTTGGACTAACCTGCCTAACATTTGATAATGAAAATTTGATACATTTTGTTTTATCTGAATTTAATGACAAGTTATTATTAGTGAACCAATTCACTACTTTGGAAAGGGCATTATTCACATCGTCAACATTTTCTGTATATCTATTTAGTTTAAATATTAGGGATGTATCATCTGCAAATAATACCGTCTCGCATAAGTTGTTTACATAGAAAGGCAGGTCATTTATATAAATCAAAAAAAGTAATGGTCCTAATATCGAGCCCTATGGCACGCCCATAATAATAGGAGCTCCAGAAGACTTTGCTTTATTTATAACAACTGTTTGCAATCGGTCACTCAAATATGATTCAATCATTTTTAGTGAGTTTTTTGAAACGCCATAATGTTGCAATTTGCCCAATAAGGTTTTATGTTCTACACAGTCAAAGGCCTTGGACAAGTCACAGCAGACACCTAGAGCATCTTGTTTATTTTCCCAAGCATCAAATATTTGTTTCATCAACGCAACACCTGCATCCGTAGTATTTCTACCTTTACTAAAACCGAATTGCCTATCATGAAATAGTTTGTTCAATGTAAAATGACAATGTAATTGATTGTACATAACTTTCTCAAATATTTTGCTCAATGTTGGTAAAATGGATATTGGGCGGAAATTATTGGGATCACATTTATCTCCAGACTTAAATAGTGGAATAACGTTATTGTTGCGCAAGACCATCTTACGGAAATTAAGTTTAAGGTTCCCAGAAAAATCCCTCGCCAACCCATCAAATCATACGTTCCCTTTAAAACTAAATTAGCTTCACCGTTTAACATAATTAAAGATGCATACATCGAGATATGTCATGATGTTGACATCTTTCAAGCTCCACTCAAAGCCCTTAAAAATCATTGGTATGGGTAATGTTCAATCCGAACAGTAATTTGTTACTGTTACAAATATAAGTACCTACCTACTTATTGTCAATGTTGTACATGCCTGCAATGGCAATAGGCTAGTTGCCTAAATTTTAAAAAGTGGTTAATAATATACACGTTGATGTTGATTTTACCCCAAAAAATATTATTTTAAATAAAATAATACATTAACAATAATGTATTTTGAATTTTAACAAAAATATTTAATTTTCCCTCTAAAACGCTCATGACTGTCATGGCGTCTTGAATGACGTCACGCCGTGCAAAACAAATAATATGCTGTACGTTGACTAATAGAATTATTTCAATAAAAATGAATCCATCGTATTTCAAGTACTGTATAGTGCCCCAGTGTAAAAGTACAAGCATAAAACGCCAGACAAATTATTTATATACCTTTTAAACAACTTACATAAGCAGTAAAAATGGCTAGAACTTGCAAGGAGGGATGGTATTCATTGTTTATCAACAAATAAAATAATGTATTTTTGTGAAGATCTTTTTGATGTAAGTATTTAGCATAGCATAATCTATGTAATCTAAATGTTACACAAGCTGGATAAATTATATTGCATTAAATTGATAAAACAATGACAATAGGTTGAGGTTAGGTAAGTAAATTTAGTTTTATGGTGATTGATGATTTAAAGTCAATTTGAGAGTTTAGTATATTCATTCGTATTACTCGTAATAAACACATTTCATATTCTTGTTCTAGTTGCCTAATAATATGCTAATTATACCAAGTATCATATTAAGGTTTGTTTTTTATTTTGGGTAAACTATTATTATTTGCTTTGGTAATTCCCGATGGCTGTACATATTAGGCTTTCATACAATAATTATCTAAGAACAAACTGATAAAGTGTATCAAAGTAACAATCACATGAATGACAAATCAATAAAATCTATGAAAACTCTAACCACAAGTAATGTTTTGCACGGAGTGACGTCAGTCTTTCTGATTGGTGTTTACTATCACGTGACCTTATGCCTATTATTACCGAATTTATTTCATAAAAATAATAATAATCTTTAATTATTATGATAAATAGCTTTATTTTTCGTTATCTGTATATCGTAATTCATATTTAGAAACTGTTAGCCATCCGATTTATACATCCGAGTGGACACAAGCCTATTCACACGGTTAAGTACTACCTGCATATTTAAATTTTTATTGACAATTTGTGAAATTGTCGATAGTATGTCTAATAAATAAATAAATAAAATAACGAGCGAGCCTTACAGTAGTCGCGTATGATGTGTAACATTTGAAACCTCACCTTATATTAGTAAAAAAAGAAATAAAACCTACTACAAAAGGAATAAGCCATTTGAACATTATGTTCTAAAATCAAATCAAATAGCACGCGCTTTCGCGACTTCCTGTTACACACTTCCGTCCCATTTCATGAAATCACTCCCGCAAATTGCAGGAAAGCGAGAGAAAAGATGTTTCACATCAATAAGAGGTGCGCACACGCTCCGCCCACCCCGCGCACGCCCGGCCCGCCCCACGTCTCTCACTGCGCGCCGCAGCAGATTATAGTTATAGGTAGACCATTTAACTGAGTCTTCGCCTGCGGCATAAAGGGCGTGGGGGAGAACGAAAAGGGGTACCTATAAACACCGAGTAACACGCTGGGTATCATACTCACGTAGCGCAGGGCGGCGCGGCGTAGGGCGGGCGGCAGGCGGGCTGCGCTGGGCGCGGCGCGGGGAACATGTCGACGGGCCGCGCGCACGCTCCGCCCGCTCCGCGACCCGCACTGCGCGCCGCGCCCCGGCTACTCAGCGACCACGCGAACCGGCCCCAGCCGCACCGTATTATCACTAGACACCGGGTGATAAAATAACTTTATTCAATTGTAATTATAACGAGCGCCAATAAAGAAACTAATTTACCATTACTTTTGTATTACTTTCTGACAGGATGGATGGAAAAAGCTATCTCTTTTTTGTATATGTCAAACCTTTTTATTGGCTAATAGTTAACCAAAACAATAACTATGTATAAATAACGGCTGCAAGTTTTCCGAAGAAAAAAAATACGTAAAGTTACTTTAGCTCGGGCGGGTAACTTTGTCCCAAATCCGAAAAAATATTGAACTTGCCGCCCCATCAGTATCTCTTGGGTGACCGTAATAGTTCCAGTTGAAAATCACAGATAGCCATATAGGCGCATAGTGTGGTGTTGTTTTACCGACATCGTTCCTGTATCAAGTTGTCATTGTAACGCGATTTTTTGTAACTGAAATAGTTCGCAAGTTCATGCGCAAACTTTCTCAAAACTGTGGTTTTCGGTAAGTTTACAATTTTTTCTTTAACTTAATTATTTTTGGGTAAAAACATTCATTTGTGTATTCAGTATGCTAATGGTGATCGGTTATAAGGGTTACTTAACCCCAACATGGCTTAAAATGAGTTTTTTTTTCACAGAGAAAACTCAACGAGCTAAAGTAACCCTCTTTAAGGCCAACTTTGGCCCAAAATTAAAAAAATATATATGAACCCTTAAATATTATTTTTTCCTATTTTCGTATGATAACTTTGTAACTTATACTTTAAAGTTCACAATGGAAAGATATAAACGTGACATATTCATCACAAAGAGAAGCTACAATTTTATTTGAAAAAAAAAGTGCACATTTTAGGTCAAAGTAACCCGCAGTTATTCGGTATATAACAAAAAATCGAAGCCAGCGTAAAACCTGACCCAAGAACAATATATTTTTCTTTGAATTGCCGGTAATTTTTAATTTATTGGTAGATCTTTTGGTAATATTTTACGAAAATGTTTAAGAAAATAACATAAATAATAATATTGTATGGATAAAGAAATGAATGATGGATCCTTCTTCTCTCAACCCCTATGAATTATTATAACTAATCAAATTAGTTATAATAATTTGATTATTGTAACTACTAAATTACCCACCCAATGCCTTATCAATTCTGGGTAATCTTATAACATTAAAAAATAAATAACCTAAAGCACATATTCAGAACTCAGTACTGACCTACAAGCGTTGGCTGCGGTTCTTGACTATTGGCGAGCGGTTCCTCGAGCAGCGATAGCAGTACGGAGCCGTCAGCGACGAAGTGCCTCAAACGCGAGTGACCCAACGCACGCAACCACCGCTCGTCCAGTCTGCACCAACGACCGCCACTTGCTGAACCACCTACCCCCACCTGTACGATTTGATAACATTTTCTTGGATTATAAAAGTCCGACCTGACATAATGTTCATAGCAAAACAAAATAAAAATCGAAATGATACCCTCAGCAAGGAGGTTAATATTCAGAAATATAATTAAATTCGAAAAGATTTGTATTTTTGACGTTTGAATGCTATATCGATCTGGAGATTTCAACCTTATTGTACCACCACCTGTACACAACCAATCTATTAGCAACGAATTAAAAATGATATGGAAGCATAACTCATACAATTAAACTCCAATACTAACGCAACACGCACACAGATGACAAATCAAGTATCAGCAAATTAATTCGGCTATACTATTCATTGGGTAAGATAATATTTACCCAACCCAACCTATCCCATAAACAGGCTTCACCAACGAACGCCACTTGCTGAACCACCTACCTGTACGATTTGATAACATTCTCTTGATTTATTAATGTGATAATGTTCATAGCGACAAAATTAAAATCGAAATTTCAGCAAGGAGGTTAATATTCAGAAATATCATTAAATTCGAAAAGATTTGTATTTATGACGTTTCAATGCTATATTGATCTGGAGATTTCGACCTTATTGCATTGCGAATGTTCAAACCACATTTTGAGGAAATGGATGCCAACACGGTAGCACGACTTTACAAATGTACATAAATTGGAACATACTATAAGAACACCAAAATACCTGGTCTAAGATCAGCATCAGCAACGACTCCGCAGCGTCACGGACTCGCATGGATACAGGTTTTAGTTCCTTTTCGTCCTTCATCTTTGGTGGTTCACCAGGTTTGCCTGAATATCGACCAATAAGTTAAAAAAAATAGAACTTTTTCTATAAGTTGTTAGTATACATAAAAGTTAAAATACTATGTGAAGTCCTTTTACACCTACTTAACAGACATTTTAATACAGATTATCAAAGTGGAAGTGGTTAGGGCGTTTTGTTTACAATCGTGGAAGTTAAGGCATTGTTTCTAACTGCAGCAAAATAAAATGATTATATACTATTGCGATTGCAGTTTAAGTTTACTTCGTAGAACTCCTAGTAACAACTCCCAGTACGCATTGGCTAATAAAGCCACAGGGCACAGCCATGCTGATAAGCATGAGTATGCCGATACATATTATTACCTTGGCTTTTAGTTCCAGAGATGCCAAGCTCCACTACTTCCAAAAGGGTGGCGAGCCACTCTGCATCAGCCAATAACGCGGGGCACAGCCACGCGGATAAGCACGAATACGCCGCTACCACGCAAGAATGCAGGTCCCGCGAATGCGCCTGAGGCGGACGACTGCATTGCACCACTATGTAGTCGCAGATCCAACGCACAGCCCGTTTCCGCTCAATCGCTTCTGATAACGACAAAAGGAATATTCACAGTGGTAGTGGGGACAATTTCTCAGAAGTCTAAAAGCTTGGCTTGAAAAACAAAGAAACCTCAATTTTACAAAATATTGTTTTAGAGTAATATTACCTATAGTTCCTGTGTCGCTGTAATATAAAGTCGTTGTAACTTTATTAAATTCTAATTATGAGTTTAAGAATGCAGGTCCTGTGATTAGCCTAGGCAGACGACTGCACTGCACTACTATGTTACAGATCCAACGTAGCGGTCGTTTACGCTCACTCGCCTGTGTTTACGAAGGAAAAAAAGGGGATTTCTATATAAGTAAAAATTTCCTGTTTCGTATTTAATTTCAAAAATAATTACATATAAGTGAATATTCCGTAGAACATAAGTAAAACTTACCAATAACATATTCTGATAAGCGTGAAAGCAGAGATTGGTAATTAAGATTCACTTCATTAGGAATCAAAATAATTTAGTTTATAAAATGAATTCATGCACTAACCAACAATTTTAAAATACTTATTATCTTACCTGGCTTGGATGAATGCAGCTTAGCGAGACCGGATAGCAATTCCAGCGCAGCTAACGACACTTGCAGGTCGCCCTTCCACGAGGAGATCAGACGATGGCACACTAAATACGTCGCGCGAACTACTAATGCCGCACCTACAAGCAAACTCTTTCTATATTGTCTCTAAGTAATAACTATTAACTGATACGAAGTTAGGTTGTTTGATTCGGATAGATACATAATCATCATTTTATTATTTCTCGTTATGTTTTTGTATCGGACGCTAAAACTGTTAGATGTATTTACTTATTTTCTCATAGAGGGTGATAAAAAGTAGTGTCCACTTTGGGAGCGACACTATTTTAAAGCTCGAGCTAGCGACGTACTTTAAATCCCTTTTTCAGGATCAGGATTTCCGCACCTCTCTGGATTCAAAAAACGCTCTTGCTTGAGAACTAGTTCTTTGCACCCTTAGTAAACAATCTACCATTAGAAAATTTTGGGCATTTGCCATATATTTTGTGCCATTGACAGTTATACTTTAATTAATTTAGTAAAGTGAAAAATATGTAAACATAAAAATAGGCGTAACACAAAGGATCTCTGCCGGGTTCATCCAATAATGAAGTGTGCCCACTTCATGAACGATATATTTTGCGCAGATTGTAATTTTAAAATTCTCTTGTCAATTGCTTTCATTTATATTACATCGCAATTTGGAAATTGTATAATTTATGCATTTTTGGGTCACATACGTAAATACGTTTGTCAGAGAATATTTTTCTATAATTATTAAAATTACTATCTAAAACACATCAAAACTATAATAATATCACCATAATATTTACAAATCGGAAATATAATTTCAATATTTACTTACAGCTACACGCTATATCTAGTTTTAGTAGTCTAAATTCTTGTTAATTATTAGTAATCATTAAAGCAATTACGTAAACACAGAAGTTTTGTGACATTGGCTAAAATTAATTCAATAAACTTCTTCGAGCCTACACAGTAGATTAAAATCCTACGAATTGGCTTAAAACTTCTAAACAGATGTGATCAAAATTATTTGATCCTAAATTTTACAAGTATCTAAAAACATAGTACAACAATACAATTATTTATACCCAGTACACTGTTAATCAATGAATAAACTATAAAAACAAAATTGCAAGCAAAAACAACAACAACAAATTAGAACAAAGCGAACACGATAATGAATTCGTGCATTATGTGACTTTAACATACAGGTGGCATTTGATAATAATAAAGCCTTAATGCTAGGCGCATATGTACGGTTTCCTGATTCGGTTGCGGAATTCCGTGAGCCTAGTATTTTTTCAACGTTTCGGTTTCTTTATTAGGCTCCGAATCAGAATTCGGTTACCAAGGAGAAACGGGAGAATCTTGTCATTGAACTTAATTAAGGCTTGGACCACATTTCCGAATGGAGTACCAAGAACTTGGTTGAGTTCAATGCTAAGAAAACCCATGCTTGCGCTTTCACGGCAAAAATGTCGCCATTTCTTTCATTTCTTTGCCTTCAGGGCACAACACTGAAGCTAGAGAGCAGTATCACCATGCTCGGTATGGAAACTCGCTGTGACTTAAATCCAAAGAATTATATCGAAAGCGTAGGTAAAACGGCCTCACGCAAACTCGGGAGTCCTGAAAGAGGTGCGGCGTTTTTTCACGCCCGATCAACTGTGTTGTTGTATACGACGCAGGTGCGGTCTTGCGTGGAATATTGCTGGCATCTCTGGGATGGTTCCGCCAAGTACTTGCCCGATGCTTTGGACAGGTTACAGCGGCGCGCGATCCGCATCATAGGCAATGAGGAGGTGGCTAAACACCTCAAGCCTCTTGAATTACGCCGTGACGTGGCGTCATTAAGCGAGTTTTCTCTCCCTTATTCCACCTTCCCGTTTCCTTCAGAGGACCACGCGCGCTGGCCTACGTTGCCACCGACTAACTGTGGCCACTATTCCAACGCACACAAAGAAGTTTGGTAACTCATTTCTTTATCGCACTATCCGGAAATGTTATGCTCTGCCCTCTCACGTGTTCCCTCCCTCTTACAATCTGGGATCCTTTAAAGAGGCGTGAAGAAGCAACATGCGGGCCGGCAGGGTGAGGATGGCTGGTGTGACAGGTAGAACTGCTGTATCAGCTATCTTCGCGTCTGGACTTCACCGTCCTTTAACATCAGGTAGGGTGGAGTCATTTGTCGGACCTAACCATAAAAAAAATCCTCATCAGGAATTCCGTTTCGGAGACATGAATGCACGTCCTTACATACAAAATGTTCAACGAGGCGCACACTATTCTTATTTTTTTCTAAATGGAAAAAGACCTTAAATTCAGTTAGCGAATTGCATATTAAAAATAAACGAAACATCTGCGCTAGGGTCACAAAATTCCGAATCTGATCTGACCGGGAAACCGAATAAGGAAACCGTACATATGCGCCCAGCCTTAAGTGGATAGAGCACTATTTATAATAAACTTTTTCAATTTCAATATTAGAGACGGATTACCATAACGCTGGAGCGGTGAGGGTAACTCACAAACCCAAACGACTTTTTATCAAACAACTTATATTATCTCTTCTAATTTAGTTGCATTAATTGTATAGAATATGCAACACTTGCTCTCGTGGCAACATGTATGATATTCACAGCTGCTTCCAATGACAGCGCCATCTATTAATATTTTCCAACCAAAATCAAAATCGTGATATTATTTATGTCATTGAAACTTAAATCGATTTTTCGAACATATTTCTTTCTGTATTTTTGTAAGGTTAAATCCAAGAGTTTCACACCCGTACCGCTTGCACGTTAAAGTATTCCGAACAACAAGCGTTCATCCTCAAACAGCATAAAGCTTTACCAATTACCACCGTTATGCCAAATTTTCACTTGGCTAATCGTAAAATGGCAAATAAAAAGTAAGTTTTACCGAAAACTGGCGAGGATGGGTCAAGCTCTCTAACATCGGCCACGAAGTCGTCTAGCGAATGCCCGTCGGCGCTGCCGGTGGTGCTGCCGCTCTCCGACCGCGCTAGAACACGCGTCGCACTCTCATCACACATCACAAAACACTTTCACTACAGACCGTATACAGCGCGACAAAGAACTTTATGAACATGGAGGTTAGAGAGAATGAGAATGATCGCTACGTGCTAAATAAAGCATTAGCCCGCCTGTCCCTGAAAATTTGTAGAATTTATAGTTCATTTTTCAGCCACCAGCCGCGCCGCCGTCTAGTAAGTAGTAACTGTGAAGTTAGCTGTTTATGAGTACAAGTAAATGAAGTTAGTTTAATAATGTTTAAGAAATATTCTTCCCGGCATTGGAGACAACTTAGCGATCGCAGCGCCGCATTTATTTTGTCCATTTTATTTTGTCCATATGTCTGGGACACTAATTTTCTACAGCGATCGTTCTCCTTCTCTCTAACCTCCATGTTTATGAATGTGAGTGACAGTTCAGGGAGGGCGCCATTATCTACGTAAATGACCTTAAATGACATAAAAAATATGACGTTTACAAAAACGGCGGCGTTAGTTCCAATTTTCGCCACATTCATAAAGATCCTTGTCGCACTATAGAAGGACTCCCGCTTATGTCGCAATCCACACTAATCCATACTTCCATACTAATATTTTAAATACGAAATTGTGTTTGTCTGTAACCTTTTCACTTTTAAACTGTTGAATCGATTTAAACGAAATTCGGTATAGAGATAGTTTGGGTCTTAGGAAAGGACAAAGGATAGTTAAAGGGGTGAAAAGTTTGTATGGGAAAACAATTTTTCCTTTTTTTTCACGCTGACGAATCGCGTTCACCCTCTAGTACTAGGTAACCGTGTGATACGCCCCCAAAAGTCAACGAAAACTACATCTATTTATATGAGCTAAACCATAGACCAATAACTTGCGCAGTTGTCGTTTCTGTATATAATATACTACTACTATTCTCTGAATCTTTCTCACATATAAATCTCTCGTTCACTAAACAGACGACTTAAGGATAATATCTTGCGGAAACGGGTACATAAGCGTCACGAATAAAAGGAGATATATAGAAACATCTACCGGCAATAGTCTATTGCCGGTAGATCCATGCGTGAAAATTCAAACTCTTCGGCTTATAAGTTGTAAAAACTAACTTTTAGAATTCAAATACGGTAGAAAAGTAAGTAGATGTTTTATTTATAACAAAAAAAAAACTTTATTTCTTTTAACATCCTTCCCAAGCTCAACATTTTCATACAGGATTCAGATACTCATTCATTTTGTTTGTAGAATTTTGCCTGTTGATTAAATTATGTTAGGTTAGGTGGATGGTAGCAAAATAATCTTAGCATGTGACGCAAACTGTGAGTACAGATAAATACAGTGACTGTGATATTGTAATAGTAAATGCATAATGAATGATAAAATTAAGTATTGTGTGTAACTCGAATCTGTAAAAAAAGCTTTGTCTTGTATTCATAGGGGTAAATAATTAATAACCAAACAAGTTATTTAGTTTCCAATGCATAGCACTTGGCGAAAATCCAATATTGTAAGACAATCAAGTGTATATAAATAAATTCTGCAACAAGGGGACCAATATTTTTGTTTCAAATTAAGTACTACAACCTTTTTGATTCCTGACCCACCATAACATTTATTAAAACAATCATTTCCCAATTCTTACATTATGCCAGCTCTTCACTTGGCTATTCGTGTATACATGCCATTTGTGAACTTCACATCAGCGTATCCTTTTTATTCTATGTAGAGCATGATAAAGACCAACTAATTTCAAGTTTACAAAAAGCAAACACGAATAGCCAAGTGAAATGCCGACACAACTATGGACAATAATGATAACAATGGTCAAATTTCAAATTTGATTGTACCTATGTGATTATACAAAGGTAAGATAGCTACAAGTGAAATTATGGATTGTCTATAGAATGAATCTCAAGGATTTTAAGTGAGTTATTGTGCAAGTGGGTAAAAAATCAAGTTGTTCGATATATCTAATCAAAGCAACATAAAAAAACTCATTATCCATAATCATAGCAAAAAAACATTTCTTTTACTTGACAATTTTACTTCTGTTTATTAAAATTAAATTTCAGTGTATGTATTGTTATAGAAGATGGTACTGTTGTGTGTCTTATTAAATACATACCTTTATAGTCCGTGCTGTGTGAAAGCGTAGATCCGGGCGGGGCGTTAGCGTCGCGCGGCTGAGCGCTGTGACGCACGCACAAGTAAAGTGCGCTGAGTAACGGCACCGCGAGTGAATCCGACCACTCCACTTGTACCGCCGCCACGCACATCAGGGACAAACGGCCTCGCGTCAGATCGCCTAGCGTCTGGCCCGCGCTAGACGACAAACGCAAACTTTGAATTTCGAACCTAAACATCGTAATCTTTAGCCTTTTACAACAAAGAACAAAATCGGCCGAGTACATCGCTCTGAACAGCGGCATCGCAAGCGAATCCGATCACTCCACTTGTACCGCGCCGCTACGCACAGCAGGGACAGACGGCCGCGCGTCAGATCGCCTAGCGTCTGGCCCGCGCTAGATGACAAACTCAAACTTTGAATTTCAAACCTACACACATTGACATACAAAAACAAGTAGACTCCCAATCGCCTAACAAAAGTGCATCAAAAAACGACCATGCGGCGCTGTTCTATTACACCGTAACACTTTGGCGGCGCAACGAGTCGCCGCTGCGAACAAAATATATACCGGTCTATAGAGAGTTACTGACTTGGTGTCCGTTTGGCGGCGAGACCAGCTCGGATGCGTACTCGTAATGTTACTGGTCGAGTCACCACTAATTACTATAGCGCTGTATGGTGTCTCATTCACTCGGCCGCCACTCCGGCCGCTAGTGACGCCTGACATACAGCAGTAGTGCTGTCTCTTCGAGGTCCATTTTAATACTGTCTCAGTGTGGTGTGGCGACTCTGGTGTCTGTATGGTGCTGCCGAAATATCGGGGAATCGCAAAACATAAGGTACGTGGTAGCAATCCCGTTAATAACATAAATTACCTACTATAGTATTAGTGGCGATCGAAGTTTAACCGTCGTATTTATAAACAAGAATTAGAATTAAATAAAATTATACAGCGTACTATTGACAGAGATTCGCTGTCGACCTTTTATTACGCCATATATGACTGAGCGCTGCTCTCCGCGCTCGATCTCAAAAACGATTACTCGTATTAAAAAATGCTGGAAACAAAAATTGCATTTAATGTTTTACAATTTTTATAATAACGAACGCATAAAAAGCGAAATATTTGCGAAATACTGATTTTTATTCCTTCCTCGAAATTCTATGAGACATTTGACACATAATTTAGAATGTCAAAACAAAGGTCCAAACAAATTTTCAGCTTATTATCTCTCATTCTGAGGTTGATCCGTTTTTTGCCTTTTATGACTTTACTAGTATGATACTCTTGGTATTGCTGCGTACATAGGCCACGGTGACCGTTTAACAGGGCGGACAATATACTTGTTGGCTTAAACTAATGCCGGCACTTCACTTGGCTTTTCGTGTTTGCTATTTATAAACTTAAAATCAGTCTGTCCTTATCATACTCTACAAGCAATGGAAAGGACAGACTGATATCATGTTTACAAACAGCAAACTGGAATAGCCATGTGAAGTGACGGTATACAACATGTGTGACTGTAAATGTACACTGGTTAAATCCTCATTCAAAATTATATTATCACTAGCTGTCCCAGCGAACTTCGTACCGCCATAAAAACTAGGGGTTGGTGGTGGAAGGGTGAAATTAAGGGTTGTATGTATTTTTGTACGATGTATCATAAAAAAATAAAAACAAAGAAATTTGTCCTTAAAAATAAATAAATTTAAGAATGGACCACCCTTAACATTCAGGGGGATGAAAAATAGATGTTGTCCGATTCTCAGACCTACAGAATATGCATAAAAATATATATTTTCGTATATATGCATATATTATATATGCATATATACGAAAATCGGTCGAGACGTTTCGGATTAATTCAATAGGGAAGATGCAATATTTTTATTTTTGTTTTCATTTTAAAGATTTCCATGTAGAATAAACCACAGATATATTAAAAAATTAAAACATTGTGATTTATCGGAAAAAATACGGTTTTAAATTGACATTTTAAATTTTCGCGCGAAAACGAACCTGTGGATGCGATGACGTCACTCCTGTCTGTCACTGGTCGTAATTGTTCGTTGCTGGCTTTAAATTTTCATACTTTTGCATATTTTTTCGACTTTCGAAATATTTTTTTGAAAAATTTTAAATGTATCCATCCATCAACATCATGTAATCATAACAATACCACTAATATTCCGAAAAAAAGCCGTGTTGACTCATGTTTTGTGCCAATCTACTTCAACAAAGTTCCCAAATAAATTGTTTTTGACTGGAACTTCTGACCCAAAACTGAAAAAAAGTGGTTTCAAGCTGCGAAGAGAAATGACAATTATTCTCCAAAGACCATTATTCGATGCTGAGAAGATCACTTTGACGTAAGTTGGCGAATATACTTGTTATATGCTTAATTAATCTGCTTGTACGTAAAAACGCATTAGTAACCTACCTACGGACATAGCCGATTGCATTATCGCCGTAAGATTTGTAGAAGCCGCTGAATAAAATACGAAGTTTAACAACTACGATTTTTACATACCGTAGTAATTTAGTCCCTTTCATTTCTAAACTTAAAAACTCTGCACTTTGGACAAAAAAAGTTATAACCATGTCAACGCTAACTCTTGGTAAATTCCTGGAGTCTGCTTTGATAAACGCAAATTTCATTTTTATTAAATGTAAAAAAACGCAATAAGTATTCCCATAAAATAATATTTACTTTAACAACCATAACCTCAAAGAAGTTGTCATAACAGGAGTGACGTCACTAAACGCTGATTGGTGTTTTAAAATACGTTCCGTTTCAAGTATTTTTAATTCGTAATAATTGTTAAGAAACAACATTATGTAAAATAAAAACGTTGCAGTGGCATTTCTTTTATATTTTTTTAACATTTTAATCATAAGATTTTCATAAATATTATATATGCATCTTCCCTATTACGCACATCGTGACACGAGAATTTTATATATTAGATTAGTATAATATCTTTGTTTAAATCTACAAAACATCAAAGTTTCTTCTTAAACCAGGGTAAAATACAAATGTGCTACTGACTATTCATTGCACCCAGGAAACTCTGGTACGGGCAGTCCTCGGTAGTGATAAGGGAAGGCGACCATAGACAACAGTGAGCTGATGGCCGCCTTGCGAAGCTCGCGTTTGTCTATATTCGCGCATTCGAGCTTCGGCTCCCGTTCTGGTAGAATGCGTTCCAAGGCCGAAATTAAATCCGGAACCAGGACCAAAACGCCATCTAAATCCAATCTGAAACAATAATAAATTATTATGACTATCCTATATTGTATTACAGAATGTCGAAACATTATTTACAAAGTATTTGATCTTATTACAGAAAAAAGGTTAGGTTTGAATTGAATCATTTTGATAATTGCAATAGACTTTTTTCCTATATAAAATATCGTTGTATAGTGTTGATACCTTTACAAAATATTTTTTTACAATTTAGTTTATTTTATACACCCTGCAAACTTCTTGAGCAACGACCATAGACAAGAAAGCATGCGCGGTAATAATAATAAATAAAATAAATATTTCCAACACTCACACCAATTAGCCTAGCCCCAAAGTAAGCACTGTAAGGCTTCATCATCATCATGGGAAACTAGGGTAACGCATAGAATACATATACTGTACATATATAAATATATTTATATAAAAATACATGACAAACATCCATGACTAGAGTACAAATGCTCGTATTCATCACACAAACATCTGCCCCCACCGGGAGTCGGACCTCTCGATTCGGCGACACCGTGAAACCCGGCGTACAAACCACCCGGCCACGGAGGTCGTCAGTAGCAAATTTTACTTACAAAAATGTCTACTGCGCAAGTCTATTTGTCTGTGTTTAGCTTGCAGTGTTGGCGTTTCGGAGCGTTAAATAATACAACTGACTGCGATTAAAGAGAGCCTTTATTAGTATTACATGCTATATATATTAGGAGAGATGAGTGTGTGTGCATATAGCTAGTACACACACTACACCTCCCCAGTAAAAAAATAAAAAAAAAGTTGAAAAAATTTTTATGTAACTAAAATATCGTCAACAAGATTTTTCGTTCACTACATGATAAACTAAACCCACATTTAATGAAAATTTATAAAAAGAGGTATAAAATTCATCATAAAAAATAAATTCTTCAAACTGTATATTTTTTAGTTTTTACCAGAGAAAACAATAATTACCTGTTACATTTGATTATTAAAAAACAAAGAAAAAAGATTTTACTTATGCGCCAATTATTACCTCCGAAACAATAAAAAAAACTTATGATACTTAATAAACATAAGGGAAAAATGTCCAACCAAATTGATATCCGAATTAAAGTTCCACATAATTCTGTCCTTGCCTTTGACCTATTTACTTCCGGCTGCGTCCACTTCCGACACCATCAACTCCCGGCAGCCTGCTATTCTTCATTACCAGATTGATCTCTCCATCCAACAGTAAAAAATAATCGACAACTAAATCCCAGCCAACTTTTAAGTACCAATTTTTAACTTTGTGTATTTTATTCACTCCACTTGTATTTTTATTAAGTATTTATTATAATTACTTTAAACTTATTTAAGTTTATGATTTTATGTAAATAGGTATTTCTTAATTATTAAAATACTCATATTTTAAAGTTTCTTTTCTCGTGTTAATTATGTTTGCATTGTCTTTTTTTTTCACTTCATATAAAATATTTAACTTTAGATTGTCTAAATTTCTTTACTTTTTTTTACTTCTTTATTAAAACCATCTGCCCAGCGCCGCCGATGGGCAGCACTGGCAGGGTCGCCATCCAGTGTTGGCGTTTCGGGGCGTTAAATAATACAACTGAGTGCGATTAAAGAGAGCCTTTATTAGTATTACATGCTATATATATAAGGAGAGCTGAGTGTGTGTGCATATAGCTAGTACACACACTACATGCTCAAGAACTTTGCTACCTATATATACTTCGAAGTTGATTTCGCCAGTTTTTCTCCATCGCTAAAATAATACCATGACAAGAGCTATAAAATAACATCCAATCAAATTTAGATAAATCAAAATAATAGGACTGGATTCAAGAGTTTTGCATCCACAATAAAAAATAAATTATTATTAAAATTATTATTCATTTATTAATAACATGGCACTGTGTAACACATAATAATAGTTATTGTATCTAATTAGTTGTAAGCTACATGATTTATTCTTGCACCCGTTCTTCTTATCAGCTAAAAGATGTCCTGAATGGGTGGTAGGAAAAAAATATTGGACGATGCAAAAGAGCTTTCAATAAGTCAATTTGAATAAAGTATAATTTCATTTCATCCGAATCTCAATATTTTTTTATTTTTTTCTTATTTCTTATTTATTATGTTTCTGATTACTTTTAGAGATGTCTTTGAACTTAAGTATGGCCTGAAACCCGTTTAACAACTAAGTCTTATGTAAATTTTTCTTTACATGGGCTGCTAAGGATAGTTATTTATATCCGAATGGGCAGTTAGTATCAAAGATATTAACTGCCCATTCGGATATAAATAACTATAGGCTGTACATACATAAAATAAAATGGAACTGAATAATTTTCCTGGTTAACTTGTTATCCCTTTTAGAGCTATTAAGGATAACATTAATAAATAATTATTGCGAATAAAGATATTTTAAGTTTACCTGAATAGATCGGTGGCGTGCAACACTACGGCGGCCGCGGTCGCAGGTTCCTTCAGCCCGCGGTGTATGGCGGCGTAACATCTTGCCAAGTACGGGGCCACCACTTCTTCCCGACACTGTTTCGAGCAAAGCACGCGGCATAGAGTGCCGAGCGCTTCCGCACGACCTAAGAATAGAAGTAAATAATCAATCATTCATAATATTATAAAGAGGAATGATTTGGTTGTTTATTTGTTTGTTTGTATTGAATAGACTCCGAAACTACTGGACCGATTTGAAAAATTCTTTCACGTTTAGAATCCTATTTTTTTTTTCTAATCGGACCATTAGTTCCTGAGATCTGCGCGTTTAACCAAAAAACGGTGCATTCGGTACAACAGGTCCTAAACTACGCAACAAAATTTTCATCATCATCAGCCTATTAATGTCCCTACTGCTGGGGCACAGGCCTTCCCTATGGATGGAATAGGGACATTGGGCCATGGTGGGTACCACGCGGGCCCAGTGCGGATTGGTGGATGCTAACGTCTGCAGATGCAGCTGGGACCAACGGCTTTACGTGCCTTCCGATGCACGGAGGAGCTCGAGCTAGTAAATTTTTGGTCACCCATCCAATTGCCGACCATTGCGAAAGTTGCTTAACTTCAACGATCGCAGCCGAACGCTCTAACCACTTGCGCCATCGAGCTCCTCTTAACTTTCAAATAATTATTTGCATACCTTAATATACAGACTTTCTCAATTTAACATTTCAAACAATGCTTCATTATCCCTTTGAATTGTCCATAAGAGTCAATGTAAAAAATATTTATATGTTTGCAATGCGAAGAACCTCTTAATAACGAATTTTCAAAAATCAAAAAGAGTCTTAATACTTCTAAAACCTTTATATAACGTTCCTTCGAAGTTCGAAGATCTTGTAACGCAGCTGATTCGGAGGAAGTGATGTTCGGTCTTGGTGGCCTCGCATTACGTAACACCACAGCAACATCTTGTCTTAGCGTGTCCGCATCGATTGCTGGAATCTTGTTACGCATGACACCTTCTTCAACCGACCCAATGACCTCCTCATAGGGAATGCGTCTAGGTGTAATAGCGAAATTCATCCCTTTTTCAAGAACTGACTGTGCAGCATCTGTTAACTCAATGCTCGACAAATTGATGACCGTTCGTATCGATACGAAATTGCAGGTACCGACTGGACAAAGGTCAGTGTGAACTATACCAAATACATCTCAAGTGCAGTGAAACTCTTTCTACGAGTGATTTTGATGTTTGCGATCGTGTTACCTACTTACAAGCTCAACGTACCAGGGAACTGAGTGCTATGAAACAGGATCGTAAGTTCGAGTTATTGTTAAAAAGACAAAAGTCTCATGTCCCCTACTACGAGAACTCACTACCAACTCGAACGGTCATCAATTTGTCGAGCATTGAGTTAACAGATGCTGCACAGTCAGTTCTTGAAAAAGGGATGAATTTCGCTATTACACCTAGACGCATTCCCTATGAGGAGGTCATTGGGTCGGTTGAAGAAGGTGTCATGCGTAACAAGATTCCAGCAATCGATGCGGACACGCTAAGACAAGATGTTGCTGTGGTGTTACGTAATGCGAGGCCACCAAGACCGAACATCACTTCCTCCGAATCAGCTGCGTTACAAGATCTTCGAAAGAACAATAACATAATAATACTCAAAGCTGATAAAGGGAATGCGACTGTCATAATGGACATCACTGAGTATGAAAGTAAGATTCATAGTCTACTCACTGATTCCAACACGTATATTAAGGTGAATTACAATCCAACGGCGAGGACTGATCGAAGCACCCGCTCACTTATAAAAGAATGTGCCTACGCTCTAGACGACGATACCGTCAAATATTTGCTACGTCCTAGAAACGTCCAGCCTCCAAAACTATATGGACTGCCTAAGATACACAAGCTGAATGTGCCGCTACGTCCGATCGTGAGTCAGATAGACTCACCTACGTATGAACTGGCCAAGCACGTAGCAAAAATATTGCAGCCAATAGTGGGACGAACATCGTCGTTTGTAAAAGATTCCCGCCACTTCGTAGAAATCTTACACCAAAACAAGGTGGAAGACAATCACTTGATGGTTAGTTTCGACGTGGAATCACTTTTCACAAATGTACCTGTGGTGGACTGTTTGGAAGTAGTAAAGGTGAAATTGCAAGACAATAACATCCCGACGGAATATGCCAAGTTTTTGCATCATTGTTTGACGACGAACTTCTTTATATATCAGGGTCAGTACTACCTCCAAATAGATGGGGTCGCAATGGGCAGTCCGGTAGCTCCAGTCGTTGCCAATATATGGATGGAGTATTTTGAGGAAAAAGCTTTCGCCACCGCCCCCACAGAAATTGCACTATGGAAGAGGTATGTTGATGACGTATTTTGTATATTGAGAGGAAACAAAGAAGATGTCGAGGCTCATTTGGCAAATTTAAATGGAGTCCATACCAAAATGCATTTCACATATGAGATGGAAGAAGACCGAAGTCTGGCATTTCTTGACGTAAAGATTCGGGTGCGGAATGATGGTTCGCTGAGTCATTCCATTCACCGCAAACTCACACACACAGACCGTTATCTCAACGCCTCTTCGCATCACCACCCCAGACATCTAAATTCTGTAGTGACTTCACTGACAAACCGTGCATATGACTTGTGTGACAAGGAACACCTGCACGAAGAGTTGGAGTATGTACGGCGGGTCCTACAGAATAATGGATACAAGGGACAGTTTCCACCCAAACACAAATTAAGGCACCAGACACACATAGTAAGCAGGCAACCAGTATTTTTGCCATATATCAAAGGAGTGACAGACAAGATCTCGAACATACTGAATAAGTACTCACTGAATACTGTCTTCACTCCTTTACAAAAAGTGTCACAGTTTCTACGATCTCCCAAAGACAACTTCCCTTTGGAGAAACCTGGTGTATATAAGATCGACTGCAGCTGTGGTAGTTCATATATTGGCCAAACGAAGCGGACAATAGCGTGCCGAATGAAAGAACACATAAAAGCAGTCAGAAACAATGATACGCAGAAATCGGCTATCGCGGAACATTTAATCGATTCGGGTCCGAATCACTGGATTGAGCTCCATAATCCACAAATCATCTCGACAGAACGCCACTACATACCAAGATTGGTCAGGGAAGCGATTGAAATAACCAAACACAAAAATTTCAATCGTGAGGATGGGTTTAAATTGTCAAGTGTCTGGAATCCAGTGGTTCATATGTGCAAAAACCGTAAAAATCAAAAAAGTGTCGTTCCGCGATCGGATACTGTGAGTATTGTGTGTCGGGAACAGGTGCGAGTGAATAGTGAGAACGTGACCAATGGTAGGGGTATCGAGCGCAGTAAAAGACGACGTCAGAGGGTAGACCGATATGTCTGCCAATAACATCTACCCGCAATTACTTCAGTTACTCCGTGATCATGGCGCTTGCAACAGTGCCGAAATATCGGAGACTCATAAAAAACAAGGTACATGGTAACAATCCCGTTAATAGCTATAATATTTTTGATTATATCGAGGTTGCACTTATGCTTAATACCCTATACAGAGAATAATGGAAATATTAACTAAGGTAAGAGTCAAATAGTATTTTACCACAAAGTACGTTACCATATGCAAAGAGTGGGCACAGAACGAAGCTGTTTTTCTGTCACACATACACTGCTTAACGCAGTTTTAAGCAGGAACGACCATCGACATGACTGTTATTTATCAAAATAAATAGAGGTATGTTTAGGTTATCTTTTATAGGTTTTATAGCAAGATTAAGTAATATACTATTATTTGTATGCATTCAAATATTTGAGAGATTACTAATTCATATAAGTAATAAAGTATCATTGAATAAATATGGCGACGTACCAGGTTGATAGCTAATCATGTTAAGCTTAAAAGCAGCATCGGACATCAATGATGGAGGCGGGGTACCATCAGCACGCTCTAAAACAAGAAACAACTACATTGAAAGGTAAGATTCCTGAATGAAACTTTTTTTTATAGCAGCACTTATTTTAAACACTTCCAATATGATTATAAATATTAAAATAGATTGTGACTAAAAATTTTAGAACTTTTGCTAAGTTTAGAATTTCAAATACAAAAAGTATCCTAACCTTTGAGCATAACTTAAAAATACCTTTGTTTTGGAGAGAACTTACGTTGATTGTTAGTGTAGGGTGTAGTGCCGATGAGGGCGGCTTCGAATAGCCATTCGCCGAACAAGTGGAATATTGAATTAACCTTCGGTCGTAGAGGAGTAAGCGGAGGTTTCTCAGCCTCGCAAACTGTTATAAAAATAATTTACAGTAAATAAGTAAATATCTTAAGGATGATTCCGAAATTTCGCTAAATAATTTTATATAAAAAAATATACATGGTCACATCACGCCCGATTCGCAAAAGAATGGACAGTTATCCATCTATTTTTAAAAGCTTTTATTTAACTAGCGATGTATGTTTGTTCGGGTGGAATCTTGAAACTCAATTTTGAAGCAGATATCTTTATTTGATTGAGCTGAAATTTTGTACACACGTTTAGTTAGGATAACAATGCATGGTTAGCTGCGTCATGTCATTCTAAATCCAATATAGCTGAATATTTACTAGTTATTTTAACACACTCCTACAATATGGGTATCCAATGAAAGGGCTTGCTGAGTTGCAGAAAAGACACACTCTCGTCTCATCTGAGAAGAGAACAGCTCTCCACTGCTCAAGGGTCCAATCGACGTGGTCACGAGCAAACTGTAAGCGGGGTCGCCGATGCGCTGATTTCGGACCCGTAGCAGCTCTGTGGGCCGCTATCTTTGTCTCCTTCAGTCTTCTTCTAACCGTAGAGACGCTCACGGTGCGTCTACAATTTGCCTGAAGCTGCTGTTGCAACTCAACAGCGTTAGAGGAACGATTTCTCAAAGAATTCTTTCGAAGAAGAAAGAAGATTATTCGAATTCGATAATGGTTCGTGCTAAGGGTACAGTATTGTTGTTGTACAGAAAAAAGTTAGAACATCCATCTATTTTAAGTTACCTTGTGATGATATAGAATTGGGCGGTGTAGTTGGTATAACGCTAGGGGGTCTGCTACTCGTCAACCCGATCAGAGAGGTACGGGGTGTGCCTGTAAAAATATATACGTTGACATGAAAATTATTTTACTAATCTTTCGAATCAATATTGTTTGAAAGAATTACTAATTAAAATTTGTAATGGAAAGTGACTTCATGAGTCATCTCATATTGAAGTCATTTTTCAATTTGACGACTGTATATAACATAATACAGGGAGAAAAAAACAGCCCTTGTCGAGTTTCTTGCCAGTTTGTTTTCAGTACAAGGTTTCCCGCCATAGATTTGCGAACCGATGGCGTAGCTTTTCGACATTCACAAGTCCTTGTAACAGCCTAGACTGATCCTCAAATATCGTAAACAGTTTAAAACCTGTGAATATTATTTTAAGTATTGCATCTCGTAACCTCTAGGAAACGTCATTTCTAAGATACATCATATCACCACATTGAATAGTCATCCCATAATGAAAACATGAATGTTGAATCTTATGTTATGATACAGTAAGTTGTTATCGGGCTACCAAAACATAAAATCTAAACCACAGAACACAGAAAGAGGTTAGAAGGGTGATGAGCGATCGCCAGTATGAAAACCGATGTCGCCGGCTCGCCCCCACACACTTCCAGCTAACAGATAATAAGCCAATCAAACGACGCGACATCAAGCAACCGAACGAATCAGCGCTCACAACACACAACAGCCGTGTTTGTGAGCGTTCATTCGTTCACACCGATTTTTCGCTAGAGGTGAGCACTGAGTCGATGAAATATTATCGATATTAAATATGCCAAGTGCGAGTTGGACTTGACTTGATTGTATGGTAATTTTTGTATCCTGTCAAAGTCAGTAAAAATACAGAAAATGATTAAATGTAAAACGCATTACTACAGATAGTAATTTATTGACCTTGAAACAATATATATTTATTTAAAAGGTGACGCTTTGTTTCTTTTTGAAAGTTATTTTTCAATAAGAAATGTAGACGTATATCTATGTATTGCTCAATTACCACTTTGATTTAATCTGTTACGTGGTTAGAATATGGGAATTCACCGACTTGATGAAATGATAACAAATAATGAAGTGCCAATAAACTTTTTTAATATTTTTGGGACTAAAATTTGTTTTTGGACATTTTTCACATTATCTGTATGTTGTCGTATGACAGTTTCTGCACTCTCGCATATTTTTATTACATCACCAGACGGATATATCAGGCCACCTTTATCTTTTACCAAAATAAATGTATGTAAATTATTACTTGTATGTGATATTAGGGCTCTAGTGCAAATAGCACATTTTTTTTTATTAGGACATGATCAACATTGCCTGCTATGTATCCAATGACTTGTTTACTGAAATCAGTAAAATTTAGTTCCTCATAAGCATCTTCATCCTCTCCGTTTTCAGATGGCTCTTCACATGTTCTTTCTACTGACTGTGTGGACAAGTTAATTCTTTCTATGGTAGGGCAATTTAAAATAGTTAAGTGCTCTAGCTCCGTGCAATTCCCTCTACCAAAATCTTTGATTTCGATGTGTACCAACAATTTTTTATATGCAGCTTTAAATTGCCTTGCCGTGGGATTATTATTAGAACTACCATGCGACCTCAAGTTGCCAAAAAGTAATTCAAGGTAAAGTAATTCGATCTTGCCTCGTTTTATAAAACGGAAAAAATATCAAAGCTCTTTTTTGTACTAGGTTGAAATAAAAGTGCCTAACAGCTTCGGCTTGACGTTTGAGTCAATGGCGGCCCATTGACACATTTAAAGCTATATATAATTAATCGCTCTATTTAAGTACTCCAAAATATCGTCTGCGTTTTTGGAATTGATAGGTTTTTTATACCCATACTGTGACATGGTTCTCGAGTTAAAAATATCAAAAAGATTATTAATAGTCCTCAAAAATTGAGTTGTAGGCAAACTGTCACTAAAAGCTGGTAAATTAAGATCTTCTCGACAAAAATCTATAGCATCGGCTACGCTTAAACTAAATAACTGAGTAGCCAGTTTCACTTTAATTTTTTGATTATGATAATGAATGTAATTTAAATACCTATACCCAGACTTTTTTATATCATAATTATTTTCATTGAAGTGTATTGAGCAAATGCTGCTAAATTTTGTGGGAATCCAGTCTTCTCTACCTGTTACCTCGATCCACTTTTCACGTATATCTGGATCTTTGGGAAAACTGAAATACGTTGAAAACTTATTTAATAACTAGAGGTATCAGCCACATTAATTTGTGGAAAATGGTAATAGAGGGTCACCCTTAAAAGATAGACATTAGCTGTAGCGGGCTTTTTTATAAAACTTTTAAAGAACAATTCCGCTATATATGATTTTTGTGTAACTTTTACTGTTTACACAGGGTACACAACGGATGCTATCATCTTTTCCATATTTTTTTATTAGTGCTCCGCTCCTCTGAGTCATATTATTATGTTTTATTAATCTATAGCCTTCCTCAATAAATGCACTACCCAACACAAAAAGATTTTTTAAATCGCATCAGTAGTTCCTGATATAAGCGCTTTAAACCAATTAAACAAACAAACTCTTTAGCTTTATATTTGTATTGTATATACATTTACAATCAGCTTTTATTTATTTATAAAAGTTACTTTAATTCCATTATTAGGTGCTAAAATTCCATCGATAAAATCTATCGACAATGTAAAGTGTACGACGCAAGACACCACTAAAGTTGTGGTAATTTGTACCTACTGTGTGCAATGACCTTGTACTGCATGCGGCCACGTGCAGGGCTTTGTGGTCCATGCGTCAATCTTGCTCGAACCGTACTACATTACGTGTTTTGAACGTCGTCGAAAGAATGACGAGCGTACTTTGTCAGCAATGAATATTTTTATGGAAATATATATGCGATTTATCGAATAATTAGTATTTCACGAATTTTTACTAAAATATCAGTCTAACTAAGAAGTTTTATACTTACCGATGAAAAGAAATTCCTGCTTTAGGTAGATTTGATGTTTGACTCCTTGCTTTGCAAGTAATTACAGCACACGAAGGCATATTTTAGGCGATAATCACAATACTCTCTCACTGAACGTGCGCGGGCAACTAAACGACGCGATCGCTCGTAAAGGTTAGGTTATGAGCATTTGCTCATAACTGGAACGCGCCTGCCCCGCCCACAAGGCCATTCTAACCTCTTTCTCTGTTCTGTGATCTAAACAATTTATAATCGCTACTAACATAGTCCAAAAAAGAAAGTTTGATGTAGGTACATGGTAGGTACCATATAGATACAAGTACTTTTTATCTATTAATAGTAATAAAAAAACATGTCATATTGTCAAGAAGCAAACACCAACACAATAACCGTGTAAAAGGGCATTTTTGTAATAGTGCCATATTGTTAGTAGTGCCAGAACAAAACTAAAAACTTTAATCTACCAATAAAAATACTCCAGGCAAGTACTTACGTAATTTATAATAAAATAAACTATTTATATTGCTATACAAATCAGCAAAAGAGTATAAATAATGTATACTTACATATGATTTCAAGTGACAACAAGCAAACACATTTGATGTGACTTTCAAATTAAATTTATTAATTAAGGTTTATTCCATAAAACACAATATAACAAATGAAGAGCAAATACCAGACTCATTGCATTTCTTCTGTCATCATCGAATTTGTAGGCTTGTGTTTTTAAGCCGAGGACAGATCAGGTACAACGAAACACTAATTTAAAAAAAAGTATGTTAGCATTCAAGCACGATTCTTAGTGGAAGCACGGCTTCGTCGGCGAATGGCTACCCAAATTACAAATTCACCGAAAATTCGACTGTCGACGGCAACCAAAGAAATCACCATACAGATTTCAGAAATGTTCGTATCGAATCTGTATATCAATTCATTAGGCGTACCCTCTACACCAGCCGAAGCAGCAAAGTGGAGTTAAGAAGAACTAAAAAACGTTTTACTGATTTTTGTTTAAAATTTAAATCGCCAAATTTAGTCGAGTACGGGGAGGGCAAACCGCATTTCGATTGGACGTCAGTGTAACGTCACGTCCGGATGACAGATTAGGTGTACACTGGTATAGGTTTAGGGGCATGTCACACGCTTATGCAGTATTAGAGCCGGTATTGCGTTAAGCAAGAGCACGGAGCGGCGTCCGCTCCGTGTTCGCAGCACACGCCTATATTTGCCTTGGCACAAGCGGGTGCCCTTGTATGCGATCTTTGCTGAGGGCGCTCTGAGCAGCTGAACAGGGCCTGTTTGCGTTGCAAATAATCTGTCCGCAGCTTCGAGATCAGCACATACCGCGTTCAGGTTTTGGATCGCGTGGCCTCGACGAGGATACGCTGAACGACTTGGCGAGGCGGCGGTGAGCGGGCGGTGTGCCCGGCTCCTCCCCGTCAGCGCCTAGAGACCCCGCGCCCGCCCCCGAGATAGACCCCGCCCCGCCCCCCTCCGTGGCCCACCACCGGTCCGCCCCCAACCCTAGGGGCCGTAACCACACCCGATAACGCTAACCCACGGCACATGTCGCATATTTTCTCTTCACTACTATAATTTTCGTCATCTTTAATATTAGAAAAATGAAGTAGTAGATGTAGATGAAATATTTTTGTACATATAGTTATTCATTAGAGCAGAATAAATGAGACATGTGTCGAAAGAGATGATTGTAAGACACCAATGATATAGAATAAAGAAATAAAGTATGCTTATGATCACACGACTGAAGTGAAACTTCTTTAGTTCCATCATATATATATATACAGATGGAGCTAAAGAAGTTTCACTTCAAAAACATAACTCTCCATGAACGGAGTGAAATTTTGAAGTGAAGCTGGCGAATGCGTTACGCGTTACGAAAAGTGTGTATATCACACGCATATATATACATACAGATAGAGCTAAAGAAGTTTTACTTCAGTCGTGGTCATAAGCACACTCGTTTTTTTTTCTAGTAATATTTTCATTACAATTAAACATCTGAACGTTAAATGCTTGAAATAAATAAATAGATATAATATAAGTAGGGTTCTTCTCTCTTATAGTAACTTTATTACATTAAATGTAAAATCAGACATAATACAGTACGCGCGGGATCTAAGCGCAATCGGGGTATGAGGTTGCGGGGAGGAAGAACCTTCCCACGTCGCCCACAACTGCTTTCCTACCTACTCTGCCTCGCATGCCTGTAGTATATGTAACGTTTTCGAGCACTTTTTTTCCTCCAATTAAGCCGATTGAATTTTAACTTTGTTTATTTATGAGACATTTAGCAGTATATTATATTTTTGAGTATTTCAACAATGATGTAAATCAGTATAATATAATATACTATACAAGATTTGTGCCTATGCTTATCACATGTTGAAGGGTCTCACCATGCTCACGTGATCACGTCAAAATAACATTATCTTGAATTATTTATAAAATGTTATAATTATTGAAAAGATAAAACGAAAGTCACTTAGTAAAAGTTAGTAAAAAGTTACACTTATAAATTAGCGGAAAATATGAAATATCCAGAAAACTACAAAAAAAATCCAAAGTGACGTTATTATTCAAGGACAGTAAAGCACATAATTTACAAGGCAATTAAGATTTTAAATACCTGTGCTCTGTTAAGCTCCCGGTGCTAATCCCAAACCAAAGAATTGCACACATCTACACAAGATCCCATTTTAACATCTCAAATTTCTGTGCTTTGGGTTGTTACCAAAGTTATTCAAATCTATTAATGTTAATATAGAAACAACACACTTTAAAGTTATTACGAAGAATATCAATGTCGCGAAAGCAATAGTTTATTTTACACTTTTGTAGGCATAAATGATATTATTGATATTCTTCATTCTTCCCAGATCTAAAAACATTTTAGACCAAAGAATTACAATTATTATTATTTTATTTAATGAAGGTTTTAGTTGGTGCAAAGGTGAACTTTGTTCTATCGTAAGATCGTTTTTCATCAAAGTAGTGTTTACGTTATTAGAAACCATACTCGGTAGTAGAGAGCTTTGTATAATAGAATACCGACATTTAAAACAATGCAATATTGAATATCTATATTTTATAATTTAAAAGAATTCTCCTCTTTGATGAAAACAGGATTTGCTTATTGCTAAAAGTACGTCAACTAACAAGAACTCATTATTAATAAAAAAAAAACACCATTGCTGTAGAAAAATATGTATGTTGTCTATTAGTAAACGTTTTAGCATCAAAGCAAAATTTGGAACCATAAAGCCGAGTCTCCTGACCCATGTTAATAAATCTTTCACCTAACCTTTTACAGAAAAGGGGCGTGGCCTTGAAATTACATACTAAAAAACTACACATCATAAGAATGTGTCATACATGAAGACGATTTTTGTTTTTTTATTTTACGTCAGCATGAGACACATCATGGTCTAGAGCTCATTGAGTAGGATATCGCTCATACCATTCTCTATATCTATGCAGGAGATACGGCTTAGATAAGTTCTCAACTTATTCACACTTGACATTAGCGTTTCGATTTTTATACGTGGTTTAGGGTTTCACAATCGAAAAGTTAAGTTTTAAGCTACTTCTATAATAAAGGTGCGTTTATCTATACGCTGTAATACTATAAGCATTATAGCTTATAACTCATAGCACGATATCGCGCACCATACATTTACATAGAACACGTTCACTCCACGCTATACTATAATGTATGGGTTTGCTTTACGAGCTATATTATAACTTGGCATGAAGGCACATGTTTATTTGAAATAACTCACTCAAAACTTTACTTATCTACTGTGAAACAGCCATTCCTTAGCACGAACCAATATCGAATTCGAATAGTTGAATTCGATCTCGATACGCGTCAAATGTCAAGATGTTTTGTATGTAAATTTAAACAGCGCCACAACGGATGGACCGAGAATAAAAAAATCTTCCAAAGAAAACCGAATAATTGGATTAGATCGCGATACGCATCAATGTTAAGAAGTTTACGAATTCAACTATTTGAATTCGATATTGGTTCGTGCTAAGGAATGGTTATTAGAAATCATACTCGGTAGTAGACAGCTTTGTATAATAGAATACCGACTTTTAAAACAATGTAATATTAAATATCTATATTTTATTTTATAGTTTATTACAATTCTCCTCTTTGATGAAAACCGGATTTGTTTATTGCTAAAAGTACGTCAGCAAACAAGAACTCATTATTGATAAAAGTGCTAAGGGTAACTATAGGTCCTTAATATAATAATAGATCAATATTACCTAAGAAAGCATCAACGTGGGCTGCGATGCCCCGCATAGCTTTGTGAAAGATACCAGGCAGGGCCGTCAGGCACGGGTGCTGGCTGGGGTCCCGCCCTTCTTCCGCACTGTACGAGTACTGCAGCAAAGGGGATGGCCATTAATCATGTGGGGCTCGAAAGGGGGGGCGGATGTGTCCATAAAAAAAACACGAAATATCACAACGGGGGGGGCGGGGGGGGGGGGGTTATAACCCCCAAGGATACTGTACATTAAATAATGTTCATGTAGAAGTACAAAAAAGTTTATCGGTTTCTTTCATCATATTTATGTCGGTCAAAAAACTGTATTTTATAAATATTAAAAAAACTATGATTCTTTGTAGGTACCAAAAAAATACACGTAATATGGGGTGGTGGTGGTGGGTAGTCTTTAACCTCACCACGTGTCACCAAGGGGGAGGGAGGGTTGAAAATTGTCAAAAAAAACACGTGATTAATGGACGGCCCCAAAGCATTACGTATTCAATGGGTAGGTAGGGCCCTGCTCATTTCACCGAGCGACAAGGCTGAAATGAGTGGGAAGGAGTCCCGGTTAACTCCGCTTTGGTTCTCCCGATGGGCGGAGAATGCGTAAAAAGCATTTTCTAGACGTAAAAAAAGGTATTTACTTAATAAAATGTAATATCTAAATAGAGGAGGTGGATAAAATTCAAAAGAAAGTATGGAAGAGTGAAGAGACTCGCCATCAAGTTAAAGTATCGCTTTTAGCCCGCAGCTTTCAAGAACCGTGAAATTTTAACTTGGTTAACTGTGGTGATAATACCAGTTTCTTTTTTATTTATATCACTTTTCATGCAAGACAATTCAAGTCATAAAAATCAGTTAGAAATGGGTTTATTTTGACTAAGTGCCTCATTATTTTATTACGAAATTTAATTATGAAGGAAGTAAATACTAAATGTTTATGTAAATGTACCTTAAAATTGTTCATGCAAGTCAGTATAATATAAGTACTTACTTGAAGGAAGTCAGGCGTTTGACTGATGAGATGTGGACGACATAAGTCGACGGGGTTACCGATGGTATGCAACATACGATACCAACTCTGCATCACCGCTTCCGCGCTCATATCCTCGGGCACCAAGTTTCTGTCCTCTTCGCCTAGTATGTTATATAAAATGTTAAAATTTCCTCATGCCATGCTTGCATCTTCGACGACCTCCGTGGCCGAGTGGTTTGTACGCCGGGTTTCATGGTGCCGACTCGAGAGGTCCCGGGTTCGAATCCCGGTGGGGGCAGATGTTTGTGTGATGAATACGGGCATTTGTACTCCAGTCATGGATGTTTAATATGTATTTCTATATAAATATGATTATATATGTACAGAATATGTATTCTATCCGTTACCCTAGTATCCCATAACACAAGCCTTACAGTGCTTACTTTGGGGCTAGGCTAATTGGTGTGTGTGTTGGAAATATTTATTATTATATCCCAGCTGGGGTACAGACCTCCCCTATAGATGACAAATGAGCAATGACCCACCACGCAGCCCAGTGTGGTTAGGTGGGTGCTATCGTCCCCCAATGCAGCCGGGACCCAACGGCTTAAGTGCATTCCGAAGCATGGAGGAACTGGAGCTTATAAATAAGTTTTTGATCACCCGTCCAATGCAAAACTTCCTTAACTTTTACGCGCTAACCACTTGCGACATCTAGCTGCATACTTTACCACGATCAAAATAAAATTGTTTTAATTAAATTGTACGTTAAAAAGTTTACACACCGATTACATGACTGGAGTACAAATGCTCGTATTCATCACACAAACATCTGCCCACACCGGGATTCGAACCAGGGACCTCTCGAGAGACCACGGAGGTCGTCAAACATTTGTACAAGTGTACTTGTATTTGTAGTGGCACCAATAATCGACAATAACCAATGACCGACACTTCCCTCTGTGATCACACTGCTAGAACTCCAGACGCTAGGTGTTACCATATTTAATTTTAGCGATCGGCCACCCACTCTTATTTTAATTGATCACAGAAAATAAAATACGATCACTGGCTTCTGTCGTTGTGAAACTGAATGACGGCATTTCTATCCACAACCTAATTGTATGAATCAAATTAAGCAGTACATTAAACGAAATCGATTAATGTAGATGTTTTATAATTTTTTAACATATTCCTCAGCATTAGCACTCAACATGACATTTATCAAAGAACCACCGTCCAGAGTATCCCTAAAAGTATTTTTCTTAATTTTCTCTCCAGACGGACAAAACTTATACTAATTTTCAGATGCCTCAAAATCAACCCCAATGTAAACAACTGCGAGCCAGGAACAGAAAAACTTGTGCTTGCTGATTAGAGATTAGTTGGACTTTGGCTTTTCGTTCTTTACCAAAACATAATGATATGGACAAAAAATATTATAAGGAAGAGAGGTAAGGCATAGCGGATTTTCCGCTCGAATTGGAGCACCCGTCTGGGGCTGTAACCTCTACCTCACAGAAGACCACAGTAAAATAACGCTACCTTTGGGTTATGTTTCTAATGGTGAGTAAGGTCCAGGTCTCCATGGGGTAGGGGATTGGGTCGGGGCAGGCAACGACGCGAGGGATATTGATTGTATCGCAAGCATCTATAGGGTATGGTGGCCGCTTACCATCAGGCGGGCTATACGCTTATCTGCCACCCTTTAAACAGAAAAAAATACTGGCCAAGTGAGCGTCGGACTCGCGCACCGAGGGTTCCGTACAAACTCAACTTAATAAATACCTCTACGCGTTCATGAGTAACTTTAAAATTTTCAAAAATATTTTTATTATATGACGTAACTAAAAATTTACGGTTATCGCAATTTTTCCTGTATCTGTACTATAAGACGTACCAAATTTCAATTTACCCGTGCGAGTTTCGAAAATTTGCGGCAAGAACGGCTGTATCTTTTGATTGCTGTGGCTTAGAAGTTTGATTTTTTCACAGCTCCAAGGGACAGTAGACATGATGAGTATTAGATATAAATTTCAGTTTGATACCTCCACGCGATCCTGAGAAAAACGGTTTTGACAGATGGATTAACGGAAGGACGGACGGATAACAAAGTGATCCTATAAGGGTTCCGTTTTTTCCTTTTGAGATACAGAATCCTAAAAAGTAAGAAAAAAGACTCACTGATGGCCATAGCGGGGAACTGCGGGCCGTACATATGCTGCAGAAGTCGCGCCGTAAGACATAACGACGCGCGCGCCCATTGTTCTGTTAACGGGGCTCTGTGGCGCCATCTCACGCATTGTTCGCGTAACGTACGCCAGAGAGGTGGCGAAGGGAAGCATCTGAGGATATGCAAGGCTAATAATATCAACTTATTAATGTATTTGCAATTTTTCTAGAAGTAAAAACGAGCGTGCTTATAACCACACGACTGATGTGAAACTTCTTTAGCTCCATCTGTATATATAGGGTGAAATTGAATGTTTCAATGAAACTTCGTGAGATTGTTGGGTTATGTGTATAAAGTATGCCTGATTTTTTAAAATATTTTTTTTCGTTTTTATATCTTTTTTATTTGGTTATTTTTTGTCATTTCTTCCTTATGAGTAATTATTCATTTTAAACACGTCTCCATAGAAGTTGTGAAACAACTTAAAATAAGCACTCCTAAAAAAACGGAAACTTAATGAATGCCTCCAGTCGAGATCAGCGCCGGCCAGGAGCAACGACCGCGGCCGCCTGTGTAGGTACTGTAACGTCCTTGACGTTGCAGCCTCCTTGTTTAGGTAAACTCTTTGCTTTTGCAATGCCTACGGTTGGCAGTTATATTAAAAAGTTAATGTCATGATTTTAAGATTTGAAATAAGGAATCGTCTGTCTTTTGATAGAAGGTTCCATTCATTATTAGATCTTCAGGCACCAAGAAATCCTCTCGTATTTAGATAAAATACTTTATATTATCCTGAATGATAATACAAAATAAATAACTTATCTCTACCAGTATCTTTCAATTAATATCTACGTCCCCAGGTTCTATCCCTTCTGGCCAGAACTCCATAGTACCTACTACACGCACAGATGACTCGGCGCTTACCTACTTTCCGCTTTGATTCCACACTATTTAAAAACATTACAGTAAAATAGTCTTAGGCTATATTATAATTATTTATTCACTGATACACAATACCTTTGAATATTATTTCATAAAGCACAAGTAATTAATCAATAGAATAAATCTTCTGTTACAGCAATTAAAAACCTATAAAGTTAATATGACTGCCACGATTTTAAATCGGTAAAGCCTGTCTGTTACTGTAAGAACTTCTTTTTTATTGTTAATGTTAGTTGCTTTGCTTGAATAAAACTTAGAGAAAATACAATCAAAGCAAAGCACCGCGCGCGGGGAAGAGGGGAGTTGGGCGGAATTCACATCATCAAAGACGCCGCAACCGGCGCTAGCGCTGCACGTGTCTTGCCAGTGTGCGGCGCGCCGCCCGCCCGTGCTTGCCGCAAAACAACATATTATTATGTGTGTGTGTGACTGTGACTGTGATTAAATGTGTTCGGAATTTCATGACGTGGGCAAATCAGTCACGAAGAGTTCCTTCCTTCACTAAGCTCGTAAGTTATACCGATTTGCTCTGTATGATTTTTCCCAATTTTAAATAAGCCATTTGCTCTAAGTTTTAATTAAGCAAAGCGACTAACATTAACAATAAAAAAGAAGTTCTTACAGTAACAGACAGGCTTTACCGATTTAAAATCGTGACAGTCATATTAACTTTATAGGTTTTTAATTGCTGTAACAGAAGATTTATTTTATTGATTAATTACCTGTGCTTTATGAAATAATATTCAAAGGTATTGTGTATCAGTGAATAAATAATTATAATATAGCATCTAAGACTATTTTACTGTAATGTTTTTAAATAGTGTGGAATCAAAGCGGAAAGTTGGTAAGCGCCGAGTCATCTGTGCGTGTAGTAGGTACCTACACAGGCGGCCGCCGGTCGTTGCTCCTGGCCGGCGCTGATCTCGACTGGAGGCATTCATTAAATGTCTTTTTTTTAGGAGTGCTTATTTTAAGTTGTTTCACAACTTCTATGTAGACGTGTTTAAAATGAATAATTACTCATAAGGAAGAAATGACAAAAAAATAACCAAATAAAAAAAATATAAAAACGAAAAAAAATATTTTAAAAAATCCGAAAAAAATCAGGCATACTTTATACACGTAACCCAACAATCTCACGAAGTTTCATTAAAACATTCAATTTCACCCTATATATATGTATACAATATATACATGTATGTACATATACATATTTCATTTACTAGCTATAAGAGAAAGAGAGGAAAAAAATGTGCGGGCGCACTGCTTTCTCTTGCTTATATCCCGCACTCAACCCCCGTTCGCCTCGCCCGAACACACTTTTTGTAACGCGTAACGCATTCGCCAGCATACCCTCCAAATCAAGCGTGCGTAAAGAAGTTTCATTTTAAAAATATATTCCGTCCAGGCAGCAGCGGGTGGATGCACAGACCTATTATGCTACCGCGACCTTAATGGCCGTGTCGAAATTCTTCTAGTATTTCTTAGGCTGCAAGGCAGCGCCATATCTTCTTTGCATTGTAGGTATCCCACAATGTCAACCGAAATTTTTTGACAGCGTGGAATTTTTTCTAGTATTTTTCTTTAGATTTATACATGTAGTAGTTAAATGCTTAAAATATAATAACCCTATCAATCACTTGTCTGTTGCAAGATAACCAAAAGATTTTAATTTTTCTTTGAGAGTTGTCTTTAAACCAGCTTTATTAATTTCAAGTATTCGGGATATATCATCAAAATACCTATAGAGAAACGGCCCAGTATAGCACATGTGACGTCGAGCGAATATTGAATTAAAATTCGGTACTTTCGTACGATATCGCCTCTTATGTTTAGGAAGTTGGGATGGGTCGATCGTATTATGATGCCAAAGGATAGAATTATAAATAAATAACTGCCTAACAGTTCAAAATTCAAAAAAAAATTCAAAATTCAATATCGTTTATTCAGTCTAGGCTGTTACAAGCACTTGTGAATGTCGAAAAGCTACGCCATCGGTTCGCAAAACTACGGCGGGAGACCTTGTACTGAGAAGAACCGGCAAGAAACTCAGCAAGGGCTGCTTTTTTCTCCCTGTTTTATTTCATACAGTGTCGTCCAATTGAAAGTTGACATCAAACTTGCAAACATGTGTTGAGGTCAACTTCCATCACATAATGTCAAATATGTAACAATCAATGAATTTACTAACAATAAGTGCAAAGATAAGTCCCAAAATAGCAAGAAACAATTTTCAAAACAAAATGAACAAGTATATGAAAGGGAGTAAGTGCAAGGTTCTCTTCAAAACTCTTTCTAAGGCTGGGAGCCTTAGTTTTAATATAACTTTTGAAAAATTATCTACAGGTAAAATTACAACCAGGCCGTTTTATCATTCAAATATTGATTGACAGTATAATATCCTTTCTTAAGTAAACAATTCTTAATGTGTATTTTAAATTTATAGGAGGCAAATCAAGGATATCAATAGGAATCTTATTATAGAAATGTATACCTTGACCCATAAATGATTTATGAACCTTCTGTAACCTGTAATTTGGTATCTTGAGTTTATTTTTATTCCTTGTATTAAAAGAATGTATGTCACTGTGTTTTAGATAATAGTTAATATTGCTTCGAACAAAAAGTATGCAATTATAAATGAATTGAGAAGCAACAGTCAAAATCCCGATTTCTTTAAATTTTTCTCTAAGAGATGTTCTAGAACTAAGTTGATAAATAGCCCTTATAGCTCTTTTTTGCAAGATAAATATAGTTTCAATATCGGCTGCTGATCCCCAGAGAATAATACCATAGGATACAATACTATGAAAGTAACTAAAGTATACACTTCTAGCAGTAGCTACATCAGTAAGTTGTCTTATTTTACGGATGGCATAGGCTGCTGAACTAAGTTTACCAGCTAGCAGAGAAATATGAGGATACCATTGCAATTTCGAGTCTATGGTTATACCTAAGAATATCGTTGACTCAACTAAATTTAGGTTTTCATTGTTTAATTTAATTCTAATGGTTTCGCTTCTAACATTAGGTAAAGTGAATTTAATGTATTTGGTTTTATTTGCATTTAATTTTAAGTTATTTACATTAAACCAGTGCAATACTTGTGAGAGAGCATTATTTACATCGTCAAAGTTATTCTTGTATCGGTCAACCTTAAATAATAAAGAAGTATCATCAGCAAACAATACGATCTCACACAATTATTCCACAAAAAAAGGCAAATCGTTTATGTACAATAAAAATAGAAACGGACCTAAAATCGATCCCTGGGGAACGCCCATTTTCACATAAGATCCAGATGACTTAACACCATTTACCTCTACAGTTTGAACTCTGGAACTGAGATACGATAGTAGCAAGTTTTGGGCTGCGCCTTTGATTCCATAGTGATTTAATTTTAACACCAGCGTCTGGTGCTCAACGCAGTCAAACGCCTTGGATAAGTCACAGAATACCCCAAGAACATTCTGCGACTTCTCCCAGGCTTCCATTATATGTCTAATAAGTGCAACACCCGCATCCGTTTTTGATCTACCCCTAGTAAAGCCAAATTGATTATTATGTAACAGTTTGTTCAAACTGACATGCGATAATAATTCATCTAAAATATTTTTTTCGAAAATTTTACTTAATACCGGTAATATTGATATAGGTCTGTAATTACCGGGATCATCTCTTATGCCGTTTTTGAAGAGAGGGATAACTTTACTATATTTCATAAGGTCTGGAAAATCACCTTGATCAATACACTTATTGAATATATCTGCAAGATAAGGAGCGATAACTGTTATTATACTTTTAGTAATTTTAATAGACACTCCAAACAAATCACACGTATTTTTCTTTTTAAGTGAGTTAAAGCATTTTATAATATCCATAAAATCAACATGTTTAAACGTAAACAGGTTATTACACCGAGGCACACACGTCTCTAGCAAACTCTTAGCACCCGCTGGCGTCGAATTCAAATTAGAAGTGTTGTGTAGCAACAAAATAAAACTAGATAGGAAGGAAGGAAAAATCAAAAGAACAGTATAGGAATATATATTTACAAGATAAAGTAGTATTTACAGATTATTAAAAAAAATATGGAATATGTGTGTAGTGTGGGTTGTGAAGTGGGCGTGGGTCGTCGGCGATCTTCAGGGGCGGCTTGAACGGTAGGTCGTGCTACAGGTACATGGACGGCACTCCTTGGAGGCAGAAGCGCTCCTGTGCAGCCGTCTT